GGTGGGGTGGTGGGCCCCCCCCCCTCCCCAGCCTGTCCAGGTCCCTCTGGATGGCATCCCTTCCCTCCAGCGTGTCGACCGCGCCACACAGCTTGGTGTCGTCGGCAAACTTGCTGAGGGTGCACTCAATGCCGTCATCCATGTCACTGACGAAGATGTTAAATAGCACAGGCCCCAACACCGACCCCTGAGGAACGCCACTCGTCACCGGTCTCCACTTGGTTGATTTGATGCTGCTTCTTGAGCTACATGAGAAGGGCAGAGCAGCTGGCAACAGTATTAGGATAAAATGGTTTTACATTATTAATCCATCTAACTCAGAAGTCTCTTCTACTTTCAAAATCAAATAAAACACAAGAAAGAAAAAAAAAAGGTATTTTCTATGTGGTTCAGTTTGTCCTTTGAGTTGAACTCAAAATCAGTGAGCGGTTACTGCAGCGAAACTGTATATCCACCGAATAATCCATCACTTCCAACTGTGGCACATAGATTGTGTCTTGTATTTTGGTTATCTTTGAAGGGAAAAATTTTGTATTGGGCTTGTGCATCTCTTTGTGGCTACTCAGACTGGTTTAATTTAGCAGCGAAATATAAATTCAGTGAGGTAGAAATTTCTTTGCATTTTGTTTTCTTAGGTATATGTTAACTTTTGAAGGCAAACTTTAAATTAGATTCAGAAATGCCTTTAATATCTCACCCAATTTATCATATCTTGCATTTACAATATTTGTAGTGTTAACTAGTTTATCTCAAGACCAGAGGCATTCAGATATTTCTGAACAGAGTGATGATAATGTGTGTCACAGAAAACCAGATAAATAACAGTAATCTAACTTTTGATTTTCAAACAATTACAATTCAAGAGCAGATGATGTATTGCTCAACTAAGGTTTGGAGATTTAAATCCAGAGGAAAAACTGTTGCTTAAAAATTACGGTTTTGTATGTTACAAAATTTCAACTGAAAATGGTTAACGATGTGTGACTTGCAAATGCCAGAAGCAAATTTCTAGCAGTACCGTTCTTGCAAATTCTTAACCTTTGCAACGACACATAAGCCCTAATACACTACATCATGAAACATCACAGCGTTAGGCTTTATAAGCTAAATAACTTGTGTTCTATCACTAGAGGCAAATTTCATTCTGCAGTTTTGAGGCTGATGTTATGCAATTATTAATTTTTAATTTAGAGCATGTTCTGTATACATTCCAGACTGTGAAATCAAAGACTTTGTAACAAAATTATGTTGTTTTTCAGAATTTCTACAAGGAGATTGAGAGAGAAGAAATGTACATAAGGTTTGTAAACACGACCAGTCACAAACTCTGCTTGACTTACTGTAGTGTAATTGGAGAAAATTAAGTTCATTTTAAGCAATCACTTGGGGGCTGCAGGAAAAGTAGTAATGAAAAAACGTACCTGGACTGAACCTTAAGTACATTCAAAGGCTTATCTTCACCGAGAGCAGTGAGCATTGGAAATTAGAGTTGTGAGATATTTTTTGTCCCCCTTCTCCAACTCCTTCAGTTACATTATGATGAACACTGAAATACTCAGGAGTGTTGTCACATGAAGAAAATAAGTCAGAAGAAAGCTGAGCAAGGAAATAATTTTGCCTCCTGGTGAGGTACAGAATAATGTGACTTGGGGTAAAAAGGATTATTAAATAATGTCATGACTGATAGTTATTTGAAATTTAAAGCTTTTAGGAACCTTTCAAAATCTATTTTCACACAAAGTAAAAATGATAATATGTTGTTGTGCTTTTTGTACACCTCAGGGTTCCTAGTCCTCTATTTGTACTTTGGCTTAAAATTGGCTAGACTGTTGTGCTAAAATCATGAAGCTTGTGCATTTATTGCTATTTTAGGTGTCTAAACATTATTCATTAATTCATTCTCAGGTGCTTATTACCTTTTTGGAAGAATTTTCACTTGTGAACGTGCTTTGTGTTGTTTAAATGGGTTTAATTATTGCTTTATTAATTTGCAAAAAGAAAAGTAAATCTAGCAAAAGGCAGGACTGAGAACTGTGGATGAACACACGAAGTTCTGAGTCGTAGGTCTGCCCTATTCAGCATCTCTATATAGACAAATTGTCTCACTGTCAACCTCCCTGCCCAAATACTCCTATTTCGGTTAACAAACTTAAAATGTGTCAGAAGGAATATCAAAGTTCTGTGTTTTCACTTGCTTTTCCAAAGCACAATTTTAATAGTTTTGTGGGGTGTGTTTTGTCACTAAAAAAGCTCCAGCGAGCAAATGAAGAGGGTCCCCCTCCCGAGATGTGCTGGTACTGAAGTTAAGGAAGATGACGTCTATCTGCATCCATGGCTAAACAATTAGAGCAGTATCTCCTGCACAGAATCTGTGTTGGATTCATTAGGCATCACAAGTCATTTTTATCTGTGGGGGAAAAAAAAAACAAAACAATGGAAATGCACATAGTCCTGAAGATGCCTGCACACAGAAATAACAAGCTTTAAATGATCTCACGTATATTTAGTTGTTTGAAGATAGAGCTGGACCCTTGTAGTCTTCAAAACAAATTATTTAGTAACATTTAAGAACCAGTCTTTCTTTTTAAGGACTGTTGTTTTTACTCCTTGCAGGTATTTGTACAAACTGTGTGACCTGCACAAAGAATGTGATAACTACACGGAGGCTGCCTACACGTTACTTCTGCATGCAAAGCTTCTCAAGGTAAATGCCAAAGTGCGTTGCAAGCCTGGAAAATCGTGTCAGCTGCTTGTCATCCTTAGACCAGCTGCACTTCAGACTGAGTAACTGCTTCTTGTCGGTGTTCCCTTTTGTACATGCAATTGGTAGGCGCAGGAAGCCAGCCCTCGGCCATCAGTGTCGGTCAGCGCACGCTTCGCTCATCCCGATCGGAAACAGGTGGCAGCACGGTTAAGTCAGGGCCACGAGTGATAAATTGCAGAGCTGTCATTTAAATGTCTTTTAAATGTCGAAATTACATCGTGTGTGGAAGCATCTAAACCCGCATTTTAGTAGATCAGCTCTCCACAGAGGAGTTTGCAAAAATACGAGGGAGTACTGGAGCCTGTTCTTGAGTGCTCTTGGATGTCGCTAGATTCTGGTTTGAGTTTGAAAAATTAGGGAGAGATTAAAGTGTTCTTCCCAAGCTCATGCCTCTGAAAGGTACATGTAATTTTAATGCAGTACCACATATTGCATTTAAAGAGACATAACGATATTGCTGTTCTTCAAGGAATAGGTCAGTGTAACTGCAGTAGATACAAATAAAATGTTTTATCTATACAAGGTGCATATAAATAAAACATCTGAGATTTCAGTACTACATAGTGTCAGTCAGAAATGTCATGAAGCTGTGTTTCAGGAGCGTTAATCTCACGGAAAACTCTCTGGACAGGAGGTGTTGTCTCTAACATGCAGCTTACCTCCGTCATAACGTCAGAGATGTGGCAGCGTGTGCCAGCCGGGCTCCGGGCCTTACCGTATGGAAGGGTGCCGCCCGTCAGAGCGGACACTCGTCTCAGGGAGTCAGTGTCCAATGTCGCCTAGTCATCAGTAAGGTAGTAAGAAGGATTAATTTTAAAAAGCAGTCAGCCAAACAAGTGAAGTCTTTGGTTTGATCTAAGCAATCCCAAGCGAAATGCGAGTGTAAAATACCTGTGTAGAAAAGTTGAAAAGTGGAAGGTGTTAGATGAAATGCTTCTGATGGACGCACTGAGAATTATTCGTACCTCAGAACCGAGCAAACTGCATCCAAGCTATAATGAGCAAATGTGATGCAGAGTGTACGTGTGCAATTTAAATTGTGACACTCTGAAATGTAGTTACTGTATTTTCACATAAATAGAGGGTTATTACACAGGAAAACATCACTGAGTGCAGAAGCACTGCAGCAATACCTTTTTTCATTATTGAAGGCAGGGGCAGTTGTTGGACAGCCTGCTGGATGCTGTCACTTTGGGGTAATGACATTTTCTGTGCTGAGGCACGTGTTGGAGAGGTGAAGGTGTGAGGAGATGGCACTGACACCCTCAGGCACCCGGACTGGTGCGCTCAGTTGCCTGTGGGTAGAGATTCGAGGGAGTAACTCGCTGAGTCTGTGGCTATAATGATCTCTCTTGTTCCCATGAGGGACGTAAAACAGGACTGCCAAACTGTAATATTTGCTCATCACACTTTACATGAATGAACCTTTTAGTCAAGATAAAGGATTCATTCCCTTCCCAAGGTACTGCGTTTTCTGATAAAATGATGGAATGAATCGAGCCATAAAGTGTCATTCAAACTTTGGGGAGGCACTGGGACAGGTTGCCCAGAGGAGATGTGGATGCCCCATCCCTGGAAGTGTCCAAGGCCAGGCTGGATGAGGCTTGGAGCAACCTGGTCTAGTGGAAGGTGTCCCTGCCCATGGCAGGGGGGTTGGAACTGGATGGTCTTTAAGGTCCCTTCCCACCCAAACTGTTATGTGATTCTGTGAAATCCATTTAATATCTGTGCCTTGCTTCTCATCTGTTGGATGTTTGCTAGAAAAGCAAGAGCTCCTAATTGGAGACAGGCTGTATGAAATTAGTTGTGCTTTTCCCTGCCTCCAAGTGTTGTCTTTGAATTTCAGCCACATAATTTCTGTACCTAGAGTCCTTTGCATTTGTATTGATAGATCTTGGCTTCAGGGCTTCTCTCACCATCAATCCGCTACTGTTCATACCTCCAGCAGGTTGTACCCATCACAGGTCACTCTTATCAGACGCACTGAGGAGAGGAAGCAATCTCAAGAAGCTTCCTTCCAGCTGATACATGTAATTAGGCTCCAATTAAAGCATTCAATAAATGGTCCTTGTGCCCGAGGAAATCAAGTACAAAGGCTTTGTTTGTGCATTAGCTGTGGTACCACTTCTTTAAATAAAAGGAATGTGTATTATCTTTAGCCTAATTTTACTGATGTGTTTCATAACTTCAGATTTGCTTTGACTTTTCTCCTCTTTCTTGTATGATTTAGTGGTCAGAAGAAGCATGTGCAGCACATCTTACCCAGCGGGACGGATACCAGGCTGCTACTCAAGGACAGTTGAAAGATCAACTGTATCAAGAAATTATCCATTACTTTGACAAGGGCAAGGTAAAAAGGGAAGAAAATACTCCAGAAATGTTTCATTGCTTTTGTCTCTAACTTGTAAGTTGAATAGTAAACATAGTTTGCAGCCAGTGACCTTCAGGGAGCTTTAAACCTGTTGTAAGTTATTTGGCGTGCTTTATGTAAACGGTCCAGCAGCTAGCACTTAATGATACTAAAAAAAGTAAAAAGAAATCAATGGTACATTTATAACAGCAGTGTTAAGGGTAAATATATGTGCATGTGATGCCACAGAGAAAATAAAAAAGTGATGCATGTAATTTGGGGGGCTTAGTTTTTCTGGCAGTTGCAGTAGCAAATGCAATCCTTCAGCTTGTTTTCTCTTGTGTACACGAAATAACTCCCCAGAGAATGGATGTCTGTGGCTCCTATCGTGCGAAGGCAGAAGTGTTCTTAGATGAGAATGTTTCATTGCAATTGCATCTTTTATTGCAGGATGAATTTGCATTCGGCATTGCATGGTGGGATGGGGAGAGTGTTGGTGATACCCGTCCAGAGATGAAGGGGTTTAACTTGGTTTCTCTTGTGTACACAAAATAACTCCCCAGAGAATGGATGTCTGTGGCTCCTATCGTGCGAAGGCAGAAGTGTTCTTAGATGAGAATGTTTCATTGCAATTGCATCTTTTATTGCAGGATGAATTTGCATTCGGCATTGCATGGTGGGATGGGGAGAGTGTTGGTGATACCCGTCCAGAGATGAAGGGGTTTAACTTGGTACACAGGGAGGTGTAGGGATGTGTCTGTGTTTGGGTATTTCACACACAAAATGTTTAAATATAGAAGTAGAAATCTCTGTCAGAATATTTCAGGAATGTAAACTTGGGTTTTTAAGAGCAACCTTTGTTGCATAAACGTTGTGCAAACAGAAATGTCATTTTCTGCTAGAACTACAATATTATCCGACCAGCTCATGTTTTCCAAATAACTTTTAGCAAAATCAGATTAGAATTTTGATAGAAACTTTGCTTAAAAGGTCAAATTTTATACCTTATCTTAATGAAATATTTAGAAGTGGTTAATAAATGATGCTAAAAAAAATTGTAATTCTAGACTGTGATAGAGCTGGGCTGCAGAAACAGGGATGCCTGGGGCTTGTGCCGGGGCCTTGGTGCTTGGGCAGTGCATAGCATTGGTTTCCACAGCACGCTTCTGCTGCCCAAGAATCTTTTACTAACCCTTTAACAGCAGGTAAGGAGAACCTCGTTAGAATTAGGGTCACAGCTGATTTTAAGGTAGATTGTAATATTACATTCCTCTCTGGAAAGGAAAAGCCATGGTTTTATTTTGTTGTTTTACGTTTTTATGGCCTCACAGTTAGTCTTTTACGGTTCTAGTATATAGGAGGTGGGAATTGTTCTTCTGAGCACTAGGCCAGTGCATTTTGGCTGTAAATTAAAGCTGCAGCCTCCTTTACATCTATATTGGAAACAGCCCGTCTTAAAGTTGTACCCACCTGTTTCTGCTGATGGCGCTAACAAGCTGCTGGTTCCGCCTGTGCCACCTTACACAGCGCAGCAGCCACGCTCGGGAGATCGTCCCTAGGCTGAATAACCACTCCTAATTCTTTTTCAGATTTTACAACTAGAAATTGAGAGAAGGCTCTGCCTGCTTTCAAAAGAAACGGCACTGAAAATGCTGGGTTTTCCCTTTCCCTCAGATTAAACAATGAATCTTCGTTAATGTAAACATTTTTGGTGAATCACGAAGGGACCGCTGTGATTGCTTTTTCCTATTCCTTTGCGTAACTCAAATAATAGGACTCCCATGTGCTTTCCCCCCCTGCCCCGTGTGTGAGATGATGACTCATTTTCAAAACACTTTTCCCTAGTTACAGATACTTATCCTCTCATTTTCTGGTCACACCAGTTGGTGATAAATTTTCATATTGTTCAATGAAAAGAAAAAAAAAATAGTATACACTGAGAAATATGAGTGTGTTTCATGAATTTTCAAATGTCAGGAAGCTCAAAGTTGAGGTTTCTACAGTAGAATTAAGTTAATCCTCTCATTTGGGATGTTCCAACATTAGGTTAAATCAACTGCTTACATCTGCCTATGCAGTTTGCAAATGTAGTCCAGCAGCTGCTTTATCTATGCCATTCCGTGATCAGTAACACATCTGAAAGTGTTTACTGTGTGTTTTTAGAAGATTGTACCGATACACTAAGCAATTATTATTTTTTTACCATAATTGCCCAGCTGTCTCTCTACCTGGCACTTCACTCGGGGTTGATCCCACTAATTTGCTTTCTCTTCCTGTAAAGTTAACAAGAGATGTCAAAAGAAGGTAATTTTACCCTGGGCAGCTGTAGAGCTACTTCCAGGCTCTGGAGTTTGTTTTAAAGTTGTTGTGAGACTTTGCCTCTTCCACTCCAACCTGCCTGACGGGAAGTGTTGGATGTGAGAGGGGAGGCAGACGTGGTTCTTCTTTATGTAGAAGAAATGAAGGAGAGGGATTTCCTAAAAGGTGATACTTGGGTTTAAAATATTGGCTTTTTGGTGTTTTTTTTAAAGGATGGTGTAGTTCAGCCTCTTAAAAATCATGATCCCTTTCTCTTAGCAGAGTAATTTCCCAAGAGGAACACACAGTGCACTTCTCAAGTGAAGACCAACCGTGAGGTTTAATCCCTAAATATTGTCATTCATGATGAAATGAATTTAGAGGAAGGTCTAATCGTCCATACACAGACTAGAATGGAGTGGACCTCTCACTTCTAGGCCAGAAGTGCCTGAGAAAATTGTAATTTAATAATACAGAGCGTGGGCTTGCACTGAAAGCAGGAGTGTGGGTGTCACATTTTGGATGAGAACAAAATACTGGCCTTCAACCTGAATATCCCTGTCATTTGTAGTTTGAGATCCATTTAAGATTCTTCATTTTGATTGCTATTTTTTAATATAGTATTCTTAGGAAGCTTGCTTTTTTACCTTTATTTAACTTTTAGTCCTTAAACCAATCTTCTGTAAAGCTGAAGTACACCTTTCACCTTTAGTAAATTAGCATTATCAGTTACAACTTTGGCATTTTGCTTTTCTTCTACTTTATGGATTTGATTCCTTATTAATAGTATTTTTCATTACTCTTCTAAGCTCCTTGTCTCCAAAATGAAATGTTGTTACCTCCAAGTTTCCCTATGTACACATAGGGTTTTTTTCCTAGATGATTCTTCTTCACTGTGTTGCACTTTCCAGTCTCATCTCCATCTCTTGGCTTTTGCCCTTAAAAGCCTTATCCTCATGCTTATCACGGCAGTCTCACCTATCCTTTGAACTGCTCTGAAGTGTTTGCTCTTTCTGTGTTTTCCTGAGGCTTTGTAATTTTCAACAAAGCCCTTAATCCATGGACTTTACTGGAAATTGGTAGGTTAGAGTGTCTCAGGACAAGGAGGAAAAATAGTCGTGGTAATAAAGCAACAAGGGAGGGGGATGAAAATTTGCCCACGTGGAGCCGTTGATGTTAGTCAGCGGTAATGAACCGCTGAAGCCAGGAAATACTCGGTGGCCTTGATAAAGATAAGATCCCATTTGTAAACAGGCTCGTGTGGTCTCTGGAGCCATAGAGGAAGCAGCAGCACTCTTATTCCTGCACAGTAAAATGTACAAATGGCAGCGTGTTTCCAGTTTGCCTGTGGATGCCGCAGGCTATAAATCAGCGCACGTTTTCCACTGCTCCTTCCTAGATTGAAAGCATTGGTCCCAGGGAGGAAAAAAGAAATAAACGGACACTGCTCATTTATTTCTGCTCCTACCTCCTCTTCTCCTCCCACCCCCCTTAACAACAAAAAAAAAAAGCTCTTACTGTTTTCTGGAGCCACAAAACATTTAAAACGATGCAGTAAATGCCGTGTTTTGGCTTAAAATATCTTTTTTTCCGGCTCATGGGATGGCATCAAGTGGCTTTTTCTTCCATCTGACAAGATAGTGGTGAAATTCACTTGTCTGCCAAAAATCAGCATGGGGCTCGTATCCAGCTCGTATCCCACGTCCGATCGTAAGCCTGTCCTGAGAGCTGTGAAGGACAGAGACAGCCTTGAGAGAGCAAAGCGCCGGTGTTTGACCATGTTCCAAATGAATACAGCAGGTTGTTTTAAAGGGTTTCCAACCATGGCTCTATCTTACCCATTTTGAAAGCAATACTAGCAATAGAGAAATACTGGTTTAACATTTTATTTAACATATTAAGCTTACGTGATGGTTAATTAACACCATCTGAAATTTAAAGAGCTTGGAATGGCCTGCATACTTCAGAATATCACATGATAATGTTCTTATCCTGGACTATTTCTTTTTTTACTGACTCTTAACTCAGCAGGAGCTAAGAAATACCCTAAGATCCTCCTTGGCTGCTATTAAAAAAACTCAAAACTAAATTGGATGCTGCGGTTCTTTCTGGACAACCAGCAATCCAGCTTCAGAAGTAAATTAAATTGCTAGGTTTTCCCTAAAAAGAACTTCTGCATCCTCAGAGTCTGTCCCATAACAATATGCAGCTCGTGTCAACACAACTAAATTCAGGCTGTACGCATTTTTCTTAGGCCTTCAGTATAAAATGAGCATTCATAGAATCACAGAATGGTTTGGGTTGGAAGGGACCTTAAAGATCATCTAGTTCCAACCCCCATTCCATGCCCCTACACTGTCGCCAGCCCCTCTCTCCAGTGCTCTCTCCAGATGAATCGTTTCTTGCATTAATAAGTTGTATGTTGTTCAAATCCTGTGTGGTAGCTGGTCGTATGGCTCCTTCCTCCAGAAGACCTGCCATGTCCAGGGCAATCCTAGGAAACCTTCCAAGGCAGGAAACCTGTGAGGCAGCAGACTGGGAGTTGCTGACGTTCAAGTGTTTAGATTTCATTTGTTGGGTTCCTTTGTCCTCACCTGAATAAATTTGCTCTGTAGTAAACAGAGATTTTGCAGAGGGTTGTGCAGGGGATTTTAAACACACAGCTCCTGCATCTCTCACGGTGTTGGAAAAATTACTGGCTTTGGGTTTGTTTTCAGTGATGTTGGAGGTGGTGTGGTCCAGCTCCACAAACAGCAGAGGGAAAAGCCGGGCTGTTAATGGACTCGTGGACCTTTGGAGTTCAGAGCGCTTGACATTTTACAAATTGAGTCTTATAATACAAGTTCTTGATGTTCCTTTGGAGGATTGAACTGGACAATCGGATTTCAGAATAGAGATGTTGGAGCAAAGTGGGTTTTTTAAGAGGTAAAAGCACCAAACAGGAGGGGCTTTGCTCTGCAAGACATCCCTTGGCTGTAGAGGGGCCAGATTGGAGGCTGGCAAAAATGGGAATAATCTTTTCCCTGGGTAAGGCACTTCCATCACGTGTTTGCAGCACGGTAGAAAAGCAGTAGTTTTCTCTCTTACCTCTACCTGAGAGTGTTCTGTTAAAAATAATGTGACAAAATATAGCAGTATAACTAATGAACTATTAAAGAATTTTTAAAGTAATTCCATTAGTTTAAGCCAGAAACAAATGTTCCTAATATCTGCTTTTTTCCGGTTCAGCTCCGCATACGGAGGGGTGGTTCTGAGGAAGAACGCTAGGATTGTGTGATTACTGCATGTATATTGGAGATGAACTAAATCTGTATCATAATTAATTTGAGGATTCATTTTTTAGGCTCTGAAACATTTATAAAATTCATTATTAATATTTATATTCAGTAACCTCTAAAGGTTTTGATTAGGCTGGGGGAAGCACAATGGAAACAGCCTCCGCTCTGGCATGTTTACAGTCTCGACTGACAAGGGTGAGAAGGGAAGGAAAAAAAAAATCACAAACAAGAGGTAATTCTGCCAAAGTTGTCATTTAGCTGGTGGCAGTGCTGTGCTACCTGTAGGCATTGATGCCCATGCAGGTCGGGTTTAGAATCACAGAATCACAAAATGGTTTGGGTTGGAAGGGACCTTAAAGACCATCTAGTTCCAACCCCCCTGCCATGGGCAGGGACACCTTCCACTAGACCAGGTTGCTCCAAGCCTCATCCAGCCTGGCCTTGGACACTTCCAGGGATGGGGCATCCACAGCTCCTCTGGGCAACCTGTCCCAGTGTTTCACCACACTCATAGTAAAAAATGTCTTCCTTATATCTGGTCTAAATCTAACTTCTCTGACTTTAAAACCATTACCCCTTGTCCTATTGCTACAGGCCCTGCTAAAAATTCTGTCCCCAGCTTTCTTAAAAGTATTGGAAGGTGCTGTAAGTTCTCCCCGGAGCCTTCTCTTCTCTGGGCTGAACACCCCCAACTCTCCCAGCCTGTCCTCACAGGAGAGGAGCTCTGTCCATCAGATCATCTTCCTGGCCTCCTCTGGACCTGCTCCAACAGGTCCATGTGTGTCTTGAAGTCCTGATGGGCTCCAGGGCGTTGCAGCAGTAGCGATGACAATCTGGGATGTGCTGTGGTGTGATCTGCAGGTTGCAAAGTCGCGGTGGCACGATGCCATCATCAGGTGCATTGGGTTTGCACTAAATGGCAGACAGCCTTCGTACCCCGCCGGCACTCGGAGTTGCCAGACGTGCTTTGGAATCGCATCCCAGTGTCTGTGCTGATTTGGGATTCCATGGAAGGACTGAATGAGTTTGTTTACAGTGTTGATGCAGATCTAAAATTATTTAGTCTTCTGTTTACTTACAGTCTCGTTCAGCTCCAAAGCTGTTTGCCTGAGATTATCTATAAATATTTTCACAATGGAAAAGAGAGCAGAAGTGCTTTGGTTGTGGAGAGGGACTGGTTAAATCTGGAAGACCCAAACAAAAAACTGGAGAAGGAAGATTATGTTACTGCCACTTTCTTTGCAATGAAAATGTGCAGAAGTTATGGGTGACTGAAGTTAAAAAGAAAGTGGAAGTCAAAATGAAGGAAGGTTAAGTAATTTTGAAAGGTTTCGCTTGCTGACTTACCAAACAACTCAATATTGGTTTAGTTTCTATAAATTGGTAGTATAATGCTCTTCTAAGTCAAAATCCATTCAGACTAGGACATGAAAACGTACTCCATTTTCTGCAAATCTGCCTTCAGTATTAAACTCATGTTAATTTGTGTTTAGAAATAAAAATAATATGCTCTGTATCATCATTCTAGATTAGATACATAATGCAGATAAAAACATTCAGATCCTTCCATTTAAAAAATTGTGTTGCAGAGTGCAGAAACTGCCTTGTGATTTCCTGCAGGCACGATCCCTCATTACGGTGATTGTAATTAGTCGTTCCAATGTGGTTTTCGTCTTCAAGGCACTTTACAAACATGAGGTAATGCAGGCTCATTCCAGTCCTCTTCCATACATGAATAATACTATGAACCTTAGAAATGAGAGAAATGGAGATGGGTCGAACATCATGTGGAGCCATGAGAACTTAATGTAGGTACCAGGCTCTACCCCTCGTGAGTATCTGTCATCTTTCTCTCTTTAAATTAGGTCTCTGTTTGCCCAAGCATCTGCCCATTTGTTTTCTTTAGGACTCCTATTCCCTCGCTCAGCCATACCAGCGTAGTTTCTGGCCCATATTTTCTCTTTACTTCGCTCCCTTCCTTCGAGAGCGTAAATCTCTGTCCTTTCTCCCTGTGATCTCCTGTAACTATTTTTCCTTTTGCAGCAACTCGTCTCCTCCAGCATCAGCTGCTCCCTGCCTTGTCAGACTGCTGCTTCCCATCCTTTCCCTCCCAGTCTGCCAGGACAACCTTTCAGTCCATCCTTGGGTTCACGGGACAGGTGCCCTCCACTTCAAAATTGGCTCTTTGTTTCCAGGGAGGAGTGGAAACGGAGAATAAACCAGTGGGACCTGAGCTACCATTTGCTTTTGTGCCATTGGCATGTCACATGTCGGGGAAAGCATGAGTATTCAGCCTGGCTGGGCTCCAAATTGCCAATTCCTGGGGGGAAAAAAGGTATCCTGTGTCCCAGTCTGGTGTTTGTGCCACTGAGCCAGGGGTAGCTGTGCCCTGCCTGACTCCTCAGCCCGTGCTGGCAGCAGTCTTGGATGCATAGACAGTTGCATGAGCCCTTAATGTTTTCTTTTTATTTTTGAATCAGCCTCTAGAAGTAGGGATTTTCCTAAAAGTGTTACTTTTTTCCAAGTTTCCCTGAAATACTAATAAATGTGATTCCAACTTGCAGATCAGAAGACAAAATTCACCCAACACTGATTTTGGTCTTTGACTGGTGGGATTTCGTTTGTGTGTTAAGGGTGGGCCTTTTGGTCTTTGGGGATTCTTGGGGGGTAAAGTATTTCTTATTTACGCAGCGCGTCAAAGCGCGTGGGATGGATGCAGGAAGCAGTTGTTGCGTGAAGTCTTCCCCAGGAGTGCCCTTGCCCTTCCCTCTCCCCAGCATCCAGCTCCTACTATCTTTGGAAGTTGTGGTGCTTCATCTCAAACTCTTTGTTCCCAAAGACGGGTGTCTTCGGGGAGCGATGGGGAAATGTGTATTCAACCCTTTTCCTCAGCCTTCCTTTATCCGGCTGCTCTTTGGAGCTGCAGCCATCTCATTCCTTGCCCCCGAGAAATACCATGTGGGCTGATGGTGGGAGGAGAATTAGGTTGTGTGGACATGGGATTTGAATTTACAATTAAGGGTAATATGAAACATAGGGATTTATAGTTGATCCCAAATTTCTCTTTTTTAATAAAGTGAGGTCAGCAATGCCAGCCAGACTTCAGCAGCATCTTTTTGGGTTTGAGAGGTTCTTTACATTTAGGGTAGGAAAAAAAAATACACACATTTAAAAGCATTCTTGCTGCTACTCATTAAGATCGTTGGCTTCTGAAGAGCTGAAGGATATTGTTGAATTTCTTTGGGTCAGCTGAGACAGCTGCTGAATTTCCTGGTTGAAGAACGAGAGGAAAAAGAACCTATGGAAATACAGTGAATATGAGGTCAAAGCAATATCTGCAAATTGCCTGTCCTGTCTAATAAAGATTACAGATATTAGAGGGAGAGAGGTGATTAGGAACTATAATCAGTCAGCAGCACTTATCCGAAGGCCCAGGTTCTGGGTTTGTTTGCGGGCAGGCCGTGTTTACGCGTTATTGGATATCTAGTTGGGCTGGCAGGACTCATTTTATTTCTGAAGCAATTTGATCATTTCACTCGATTTCATCAGAGACATGTAGGTAATGCTGCCACAGCTATTTGGCTCATCAGATGCACAGTGTTTCCAGGCATGTGACACGATGCGTTTTGTTGTGGTTTACTAAGATTTATGTTATTCCAATGTTGTTGCTTAACCAAGGTACTTAATTCAGGTTTTTTGTTGTTTTGCGATTCTTTTCTTCAACAGATGTGGGAAGAGGCCATTGCCTTGGGTAAAGAACTTGCAGAACAGTATGAAAATGAAATGTTTGATTATGAACAACTCAGTGAACTGCTGGTAGGTTGTTTTTAATGACATAGACGCTGCATCAACTTTTTCAGAATTTAGTTTCTCAGCTTTTAAAATTATACTGAAAATGTCTCTTCTGACAGTAAAATGTAGAAATAGATGCCCTCTATGAATTCTTTTTTACCAGATGTTGATTAACTGGCTACCATTGGAATGCTTGAAAAAGATTGGAATTTTTTTTTTTTTTTAGCTTAAAGAAAAATATTTCGGTAATGTTAAGCTGATTTATTTGGGGTATAAAAGGAAATTTGGAATTTAAATATAAATGAGAACATGAAAAAATCCCCATTCTCTCTCAAGTGTCTTTCCATATTCACGTTTCTTTTTTTAGGTATGAATAATCCCCAGGCATTCATGCCTAGAGTCAGTTATTTTTGCCCTGACGTTACCCATTCATTATGCCTGCACCATTTTTTTTTCTCTCCTGCTCTTCTCTGAAGAGATAAATGGCAGCTGCCACTGTCCCTCCAAACTTCTCCACCATTTTCACAGGAGCAGGGACGTGATTCCAATTTGGTTCTGAAAATTCTTGACTTTCCTGTATTTGATAAGTTTTACCTTTGCACTCACCAGACTACATGGCCTTTAATTTTTTGGAATTGTTTATCCCAGCCTGTCTGAGCTGGGCATTAATATGGTGTCATTGCTCCCTCTTTCTCCTGACACCGACGCTCAGATTGAGGATGGCTGGGAGCCATCCCCCCAGAAGCATCTCCATCCCCACCTCCCCAGAATCTTCTTTCTTGGGGAGGAAAGAGTAAAGGTAAACACCACTCAGTTTCATGGTTTCTTCACTTCTTTACATGTTCTTCATTGTTTTGTCTATGGTTCTGTCCTCCAGCTGGCCAGAGATGAATTTATATCCCTTTTTAATGGTCCTACTTTTGTGGCATTTTAACTGATTTTAGTGACAGGCTGATTGTGTTGGTTTGCATAGCAAGTCTGGAGGCTGGCTTCACACTGCTCTGGACTGCAAGGGGGTCAGGGATGTATACACAGAGCATTTCCCAGGGGCCATGGTACGCCAGAAGAGTCTTCCTTGGCCTGCTGCCTGCACCGCTGTCACTAGGGTCGTCTTCAATAGAGAGTATTCTTCGTTTCAGTATAAAAGGAATCTGGTAGAGATTGTTCCTCAGCTAGAAATTATTCTCCTGTGTCAGAGATGATTATTCACCCGTGGGTAGCTACTCTTTGAGTCCCTCATTTTTAATTTTCCATTTCCTTTATGCTCGCACATGAGAACATGAACAGCTTTTGTCATGGTGGCAACCACCATGGTGGGTTTTGGAGCAGAAGTCTGACTTTACACTTGGTACATTTGTAGCTGGTGGCCATAATACTGAGTTACGTATTTATGTTTGTCCTGCACAGTAAATATCTGTTTACACTAAGTGACATCGTTCCAGGAGAGGCAGGGATATAAACCAGATACGGCTCATCTGCATTTGGAAATTGAGTTTCTCTCTCTTCTAATAGGGGAAACCCAAAACTTCCAATTCTCAGGTCAAACAGCTGAGTTTGCCTGCTCTTTATCAGACAGGAGGAACAGAGACATGTCACAAAAATTAGTACCAGTGTTCATTGAGCACTCATCCCTAATAAGGCAAAGATGAAAATTCACGTTTCTGTTTGAGCCAGGTCTCGCATACCCCATCAGCTTTTCTTACTGCTGCTGCTGAATAGCATTAGCATGCTAGCTTTATTTTCCCTCCCCCACAAAAATATCTGAAAGTTGGGGTTTTTTTCTCTCTCTTCTCCCTATTGTCTCTTTTGTTCCAGCAGTATTAAATATTAGACATGAAGGCAATTCACAAATGACAAAATCGTTTTGAACAGAGACATACGGCAGATCTGGGTCTTTGTAGTCGTCTTGCCATTTACTGTTATCTGTCGTAGGGGAGCATATAAACCTCCCCCCAAATCAGAATTTAATCTCTTACAGAAAGTAATGGCCTAAAACTAAGTTAATGAACAGATCGTCTGAAGCTGCACATTTGTTATTATTTCATCATTTGAGATAAAGAAGGATTCTGCTTCGAAAGCAGATGGCATCTGGCACGCATGTGTTTATTCCAAAAGTTACGTTTTTCTGCAGTTCTCAACCGCGTGCTTTCCATATGCAAATAAATAGTTGCAAATATGGAAAAGAAGTGGTAGAAAAACATAATGAAACGTAAAAGCCAAAAACAGAGAAGTCGGCACCATCGAGATGAGCTGGCTTTAGCGGTATGTGCTTCACCCTTCCAGTGTTTCAGCATCGGTGGTGTCGCAACCGGCGATTCAGGCTGCCTTGAACATTCTTCACCTTCACCAGAATTGAGATGTTGGCTATGAAATGGTGCGGGTCACCCAGATGAGAATTAAAATAACGGCTAGTATGTCAATATATTAGCATATATCTGGTAAAAAGTTGAGGAAAAAGGGTTGAGTGAAACATGTACATCTTTAAGTTAGAGATACGCATAAAAGAGCTCTAGATCTTAACTATAGAGAGTCTACTTACAGCTTAGGTCGTTACAATTACCCCTGTTTGTTTTGCAGAGAAAGCAAGCGCAGTTCTATGAGAACATTGTGAAAGTGATAAGACCAAAACCAGACTACTTTGCTGTTGGATACTACGGCCAAGGATTTCCGACATTCATAAGGGTAAGCATCCACCTTTTTCCACAGACATTCGCAAGGTTTCTTGCTTTGGAAATAGCCCTGAGCTGTAGAGAAAGTACATTACTGTATGTCAGTGTCTTATTTACAGTCTACCTGACTCTGATGGTTGGGTTTTAGGTGTATAAAGCAAACGTTCATTTTTCCTTACCAGTTTCTAATATTAAGTAGTTGAATTGTAGTAGAGAAGCTTTTTCTTCAAACCTATCCAATACTTCATACTTCTTCAGGGTATCACTAGAAATGAAGATCTACCACCCAAACCGTAAATCAGGGTAATAACCAGCACCGTCAAATGGTGACATTTTTGCCTGACAGGTGTATCTGTACAGAGATAGATGAGTATGGCAGAGAAGCCTTTTGTATTTGTGACCATGTTTTCATGTGTGTGTCCTTTCCAGTATAATCCCTACAATGACGTTGATGGAGGGGTGTGTGATACCTTTAAAAGCAATCTTCATGACTCACAAAGTTAAAACGTGTCATTTAGTTTGATGCCAGTGATAGAAGTCAACTAACATCCTAGATTTTTTCCCACTGTTATTAGGATTGTTATTGAGCTGAATTAGTGGCTGAAGAAGGGTGGGGATTTAACATGTCTGAATTGCATCTGTATCACTGTTCTCTGGACCCTGGTACTTGCCAGTCGGTGACATGGAAATAACACATTAGCTATTTAGCTGCTGTGCTGCTCTTATCTATCTTAAGAGCTGAGTATTTTCCTTTTGGAAAGAGTCTCTCCAACTCCTTGTGGAAAAGTTACAGTAGATTAAGGCAGTTCAAGAGACAGAAGAATAAAATTACTAGTGTTATTCTCAGATTATTCGCAGTCTAGGAGACTCAGAGAAATTTAGTCTCAGGCCAGGAGCTGGTTGTAGGTTTCCTCCTGGAAATACTCAGTTAGGAGATGAGTTCCTGGTTGTAGCTGATTAATTCCATTATCTCTCTCAGATTATGCCATAATAAACACCAGGAGTGATCCCAAGCCTGTGCTGAAGCCTCCTCCCTGGATAAATCCTGTGAATGCTGGCTAAGCTGGCTTTGTCAGGTTAATTGTAGTCAGCTGGTCTTTCAGGGTGTATTAAAAGTGCATGTAAAATATGTATCTATGGTACATTAAAAGTAAAGAAAGAAACATGGTGATTTCAGAAAAGAATTGTCTTAGAGTGATTGTCCCTCATCGAAATCTTATGATCAGATTTCCAGACAGAAACATTAAAAGCATCTGGAGAAGGAAGGAAAGGTTTTCAAAGATCCCAAGAAATAAAACATTTACTTAGAGTAATCAGGTGTTCACTTGGGAAAAGCCTTCTTTTCAACTAACTGAAGTCTACGTGGAGAAATTAAAGTTACTGAATCATCCCAAGAAGCAGCAGATGCGTATGGGTTCTCATACACCCCAGGATGCTGTGTTACAGCCGTACTTGTGCCACGGATCCTGCCTGAGATGTGCAACAAATTCCTATGTCTTTGCTGCTGGAAGGAATAAGGTTGACCCCAGAGAGTTTCTGCCAGACTGAGTGTATTCTGCAGCACCCATTGTGTGCAGACCCTCAGACAAAAGTGGGAAGATGAGCTCTCATATGTTAGCCCAGTGCTTGGTCTCCACATTCTGGCTGGGAAAATCATCCTAAAGATGCTCTGAGCATGCAGGAAGGTGACAGGGTCATCGGGATCCAGAGCTGCCCCAAATCTTACGGTCTGCAGTTCTGCAAGCAGGCAAAGCTGTGTGTTGGTAACAGGCTCAGGGGTGTGATGGTGTGTAAGCTACCGTGTGTATCAAAAAGCCAACTCTAAAGAGATGCCATGAGGAAAAACCAAGAGTTCTTGTGCTGTTTCAAATACATGTGAATTAATGTACCTGAAACAGCTTTAATCAAGTGTCAAACAGCAAAAAACATTTGTGCTACATTAAGTAAAAAAGCTTTAATAACAGTCTTGTAAAATGTTTATTAATAATTTCTTAAGTTTTACCAGGCAAAAAATATTTAATATCCGGTAAGAAGGAGTCACTGTTAAGATTGACTAATCCCTTTCTCTAGAAAATTATTGAATTAGTATTTTATGATATTCCTATAGGGAAGACTTGCATTATCAGGAATCTTCAAACTGATGAATGTACCATAAAGTCACCGACAGCTTGGCAGAAGGGATTGCGGCTTAAGCCACTGTGAGATTTTGTCACACAAGCAGCCCCTCTCCACAGGGCACACATTATCCTCTAGGAACATCGGGAGTATCCAGAGCCGCTCACCAGAGGCGGGTTGTCCTGGGATCACAGAGGGCATGATTTTTTTTTTTTTGTGTGTGTGTGTAAGGAAAACATTTACCATGCTTTACAAAAGCCTCGTGGATTGGTCATGTAAAAAATCACAGACTCACAGAATGGTTTGGGTTGGAAGGGACCTTAAAGATCATCTAGTTCCAACCCCCCTGCCATGGGCAGGGACACCTTCCACTAGACCAGGTTGCTGGGAGCAATATGAGCAATAAAAACTCTGAAAATGTGGGTATTAAGTGCCTTGCTGATTGAGTGAATCCTCAGTACAAGCTTTTTGTTCCATTGAAATTTTTCCGTTGAATTACAGGTGTATATGTACATGAATTACAGGTGTATATGTACACTACTTGGGCATCTGCCCTTTCTTTTTTACAAAAGAGAGTATTCTTTCTTCTGCTGTGCATTTCAAAAGGCACCGTTGCAGAATCAAACCCAACTGGGCAAATGTAAGCTATTCCAGTTTTCTGTCCCTAGTCATAACACCCATTTCCTAGTAAGTGCTGTGTAATTTTTTCACCATTGTTCCTGTTGAGATGAGTAACAAGGTCAAGCATATTCAGACATGTTACTTTTATGTCAGAACTTACTTTCATATGTTTGAGCACTTAAAAATATGCAGGTTTTCTTTCACATTTTTCTTTAGAACTGAATGTGCTTCTTCAGCCCATATGTGGACTGTATACAATACATCTTAATTTTCTTTATTGTTAAAAGAAGAAGCCAACATTTAGAAATAAAATATACTTAGTAATTTAAGTTATGATGCGTGCAGACAACGGTACAATGGCAAAAATCTAATAGATCAATATGAAGTTTGGGGTGTATCAGTGTTTCTAAAAGAATCAGTAACTTTGGACCTTCCTCCTAAAATTGGCATAATTTTCTGTTTATACTTTTCTCTGCTACTCTGCCTTGCTCACATCAGTGCTTTTTAATAGATGTTTGTTTATAAAAAGCCTAATGTTTATTTACCTGCATTCCACCATTTGCTGTGGAAGATGGATGAGAGGAATTACAGAGGGAGATCTTGGATTTGGTAGAGGACATAATTTGTCTTAATATATTTTCAATGGGCACCTTCTTTATAGACCCTTGAAATTATGCATTAGGATCCCGTTGAATTTAACGTGGTTTACACATATGCCCAAAGGTGAGTGTGTGCTTAATGTTCTGAGAACTGAATTGGAGGTAAGGAAATCCATTTGTGCTTTACTGAACTGGCATAAAATATTTGTAAACTATTGATTATATTGTGGTGTGAGGGTAAAATTTCACACTTACCAGCAGTGGAGTCAACGCTCCTGAGATCCCAGTTCATTACTGTGGATACTAGCATTGGGATTTCACCTCTCGATTTGTTTGCAGAACAAAGTCTTCATTTACCGGGGAAAGGAGTATGAACGCCGTGAAGACTTCGAAGCAAGGTTATTGACTCAGTTTCCAAACGCGGAAAAAATGAAGACAACGTCTCCGCCAGGCGATGACATTAAAAACTCTTCTGGCCAGTGTATCCTTGGGTTGCACAGTGGCTCCTGCTGCTGCAGGGATTTGGTGATATATGGTCAACACGAACAGGAGACGGTTGTGCTTCTGCCTTTATGGGTGTAATACAGTAATTTGTGGTTCTGTCCTTTCTTTATGTTCCCGTTGAGCTGCCTGTTCTGCCTGATTGAAATTTGCTTTTCAGTTCTTAACCCCTGAATTCAGATATTCAGTGCTTTACTGTAAAACCCAAACTGGATTTACCATCTAAATTTCACAGGCCAGTGTCAGAACAAATCGTGAGGTGAGTTTGGGATGGTTCTGCAAGTCTCCTTTATAACAAACTGGTTCTTCTTGTGGTATAACAAATCTGTACACAGCCAAGGAGGGTGGCAATTGTGAGGACATTTCATAGAATCACAGAATAGTTGGGGTTGGAAGGGCCCTTAAAGCCCCCCCAGTCCCACCCCCTGCCATGGGCAGGGACACCTTCCACTAGACCAGGTTGCTCCAAGCCTCATCCAGCCTGGCCTTGGACGCTTCCAGGGATGGGGCATCCACAGCTTCTCTGGGCAACCTGTCCCAGTGCCTCTCCACCCTCTGCGGGAAGAATACCTTCCTGATATCTAATCTAAACCTCCCCACTTTCAATTTAAACCCGTTCCCCCTTGTCCTGTCACTACAGGCCCTTGTAAAAAGTCCCCCCCAGCTTCCTTGTAGCCCCTTCAGGCACTGGAAGGCTGCAATAAGGTCTCCCCGGAGCCTTCTCTTCTCCAGGCTGAACACCCCAACTCTCTCAGCCTGTCCCCATGGCAGAGGGGCTCCAGCCTAGTCCTAGCGTTTAGCAGCAATTCCTAAACAGACAGGATCTGATTTTGACTGTGCTTTTCCCTTTTTTCAGTTTCTACAGGGTGAATGAAGTCCAGCGGTTTGAGTATTCACGCCCTGTTCGAAAAGGAGAGAAAAACCCGGACAACGAATTTGCGGTAAAAAAAAAAGAAAAAAGATAATGGAGTTGTCTGGGGGTTTGATTGTTTATTCCCCTCCACTGAGAATCTGAACCTTCATTACATTTTGGTTGTTGAAAAATAAATTTCATAGAAATTCAGTTAAACCGATTTATCTGTTCTGGTTTATAAAAAATGGTCAAAGATTAATTGATTTTGTTAAAAACTAACGATTTTGAGAAAGAAGTTTAAAATGGCTGCACCTAAGAAGATGGATATCTCTTTGCAACACTTGTCTTGCCATGGAGGTTCTAGTCAAGCATCTAAAAACTTTTTTGCACTAATACCTTTCGGTTTGGGTTTTTATACTAACCCATATAACCATATGTTTCATCTCATGGCCAATAAAACTCCCTTTGAGCACAGCTTGTATTCATCAAAACATGTACAACAGGTTACACCGACTTGATTGCCTTTATTTTATAGACACCATTTTATTCACAGGGGTTCTGGTGGGCACGGCTAATAGTAAAGTAGTAGTAATTAAAGTAATAAATTAATGCATCATTTCTTGAGCAAAGAACTTGGTTTTCTGTGTGGTAGCAGGCTTTAATCTATTCAACATGCCGATAAATGCTGAGTATTTGGTTTCCTATAGCTAAGACTGGGTATTAATTCAGAGACTCCTTTAGTGTCTTTGGCTTCTCTTGGCGGCTGTTACATCAAAAATTACTAACTTCCTGATCTACGTAGGTTTAGCTGAGGAGGCAGGAAACTCTCTTTTTCTCTAAAAATAATGTTAGAGAGTGCTGCAGTTTACAGTATGTTTTGACGATGGATAAAAAAAATCTAGGTATCTCTAAATCACTTTGAAAGCTCTCCTGGGAACAGAGGATGGAATAAACAATTCTGGTTTTAAAAAGGCTCATAGTAAGTAAGATGAACTACCAACAAATGCCAGTTTTAATTAAATCAGATCAAGACAAGTCTTTGGCATCAGTTATGAGCCCAGTATGCACATATGGAGGAAGAGAGATTAAATAACCTATCCTCAAATTCCAACCAGTGAGAAGATGTTATGATGTGGGCATTGCAGTTTACAGCTCAGATGAAATCCCAGAATCCCGTATTCAGGACAAGACCTCAGGAATGCTCAGGTCCAACCCTGTAGCTTTCCCTATATCAAGATGCTGTGGTCTTGTGGAGGGTGGTCCTTGAAAGCTCTGGAAGTTTCAGAACAATGAGAACAATGACAGTCCAGTAAACCAGGTGGATCTCTTCCATGGTGTTCTCCTTTGGTAACGGACCAGTTGTTCTCTGCTAAATCTTGTATCCGATCTAAATCAGCGCAGCTCCGTCCTCTCCCCAAGCAGACTCCATTTGAAACTTCCCCTGGCTTTGTAACATCTGTCGGACTGCAGTTCCTTTTCCCAACAATAACATTTTAAGGCTTTGCTTAAGATAAAAGCTATCAATCCGATAACGTGCTGTTTATGTCTTATCTGCAGAATATGTGGATCGAGAGAACCATCTATGTGACAGCGTATAAATTACCAGGGATTCTGAGGTGGTTTGAAGTCAAATCAGTTTTCATGGTAAGATCAATTTGGCTTTATTGAGATTGCATAAAAGAATAAGGCTTTTCTACAGCCAGGGAGTATTTATATTTCTGTATGACTGTGCTTCAGTCCTGAGAACGAGCAATCAGTATCTGGCATCCTGAGACGAGGGAGCTTGCTTGCTGAAGGTGCTGAGTATTGACTGAGGGTGACTCAGGTAATGCTTTTCCACTCCTGAGAGAAGGAAATGAGACTCTTCCAGGCCTTGGGGACAGGGTCCGATCAAGTGCTTGAAGTGCTTTTATGAGGTATTTCTGGCTTTCAGCAGATGAGCCCATACCACCATGGGCCTAAAATGAAGAGGAACCCGAGGTGTTGCAGGGGAACCCTGCTGCATCGAAGTGAAACTAGTCTGAATTTTGGAAAAGAGGATTTGGGTATTTTGACTGTAGTTTATTCAAAATATGAGTGCACTGTACGTGTCTGCATCTCTTCTCTACTTACCAGTTGGGAATAACCGTTATTTTTGTTCCTTCTCTATAGTTAGCTAAAATACACCCTACCAACCTCAGAGCAACTCCAAATTACGCATTTCTCTGTTCTACCATTTAGACTGTTTAGATAAGATATACCCATTAAACGCCTTTAAGATTAAATTATTCTTACGCAGCTGTAATTTTTAAGTAGCAATAAAAACATTGTTACTGCAGTTTTTAAGTCTCTCTTGTGAGGCTTATTTTTAAAGGAAAAGAACAATTTGCATATGATTAATTAAAACCTTTTTCACTGCTCCATTGAGGTTATGTCGGACAGTTGTATTTAGATGAACAGAAGTAATGCAGAAAATTACTATGGTATCTATAGTAACAGAATATGAATGTGATGTTTGACAGTAATAGGCAGCTGAATAAAACACATTGAATTTTTAATGAATTTGGTATTTTCAACATAATCCTGATAGAGAAGATTGTATTTATCTTCATGATTGCAAAAAGCGTTGTTTATAAAGGCTGGCAAATCTGATGAAAGTCTCTTTTCCTTACGAGTTAAGAGCACAGCCTGACAGGCTGCTTTATGCAGGCAATTTGTATACACGCACCTTGAACGCTACGCTTGTCATCGGAATGTGCATAAATCCTGGGAGAGTGCTTTCTGTAAGCTTTTTGTAAGTAAGGATTGTATTAGTCACGTAGCTGAAAAATGATAGTAAAATGGAAGTTAATAGTATGTGGGAAGACGGCGATGGGTAACTTTTGACCTAACTCTGGCATAGTTACTACAGAATTGGTATTGACTTCCCTCAAGATTCCTGTCAGCTAAAATGCTGGAAGCACGATCACTAGGTTTACATCCCCGTAATGCTAAATTTTGATTATGGATACAGATATTATTGATGTTTTACTAAACATGATGAATTAAAGTAGCTTTGCACATTTCATATTTTATTGATGGAACTAGAATATCTTTAAAGGAAGAGGTGAGAGCATGGTAGTGCTGAGAGAACTGCATAATTTAGTAAATGCTGTGTATTACTTTACATAACCCATAGGAGCCTGCAAAATTTCCTTAAAACTGTTTGGTTTTTAAATTCCTTCTGAGGACTTTTATTTAAACCTTTTCAATCTGTTTATTATCTGCACGGAGTTTGTTGTACACATTCATTATTCTTTACTTGATTTGTTTTAGCTGGACACAAGTAATTGTAGGGGAAAAATTTGCTGAGGCCAGCCAGTGAATTAGAAACTGGATTTTAAACTGCACTTGGAAAAGTACAAATACTAATCTCTATTTTGTTTGGATGTTTCGTTTTTTACTGTTGCAAACCTATCAGGAGTATATAATTTCTGTTTGCACTGAATAGGTTGTGTAGTCTCCAGAGTTAGCAAGCGAGTTGGAACAAGGCTCATAATCTGCATGAATAGATATTTGTAATAAATAGCTTTCAGTAAGGTCCAGAGGACAGTTTAAAGTAGGATGGGACTGCAGTCCTCCATCTGCTTTTAAAAAATTAGAGGGAGGATTGTAAGAGTAGGAAAAGAAAGGAGAATGAGAAAGAAAGCCATGATTGCTGATACAGAAGAGTCAAAGAGAGATGTCTGTCAGCTCAATGAGTGCTAATTTCTCTAGATATTCAAGAGCTTTAAAAGCAATGGTTCATCAGCAAATTATTGCATAGTTATAAACCCATTAATACAAATGACAGAATCCTATATTTAGCATACAATGTTCGCAACAGTTCTTGCCAAATCAGATGTTGAATATCATCTTCTTTTCCCCATCCAAATTTCACTCGTAGCACATTCAGCTCTGAAGGGCAGCGGTCGTCTGTCCGCATGAGCCTGGTCTGCTCCACACTCCCAGCAGAAACACCGGGCTCGTTACCTGCCTTCCAGAATAATTCACCAGGCATGGTCCTAAAAATGCTAATTACAACATCCTTGGTGTAATCAGATGGCAGGTGTAAGAGTAACTACTAAAGAGATTTGATTATAAGTGGTTCTCAGAAACACGGTAAGCAACTGATAGCCAGGTAGAAGTGCTTCTTTGTTTATGTAGCGTTTATGTAAATTAGGGTGTAATCAAATATACACTTGCATTTTCCTCACAGGCCTCAATTAACCTTCCTTTCCTATTCCTACCACATCATGTTTTTAATATAAGTAGGCTATGACTTAAGTCTTCCAGTGAGGACTGCCTCCACTGTGGGCTGCTGCAAATTAGTAACTTTTAGCCCATTCACTAAATGTACGTATTTTAGCAATATTTTAAACATTTAATACTGTTTTTTTCAACACGACTTACTGTCATTCTGAAAGACACAGGATCTGGTCGTAATAATAGTTGGAAATCAAGCAGCTAAAATCAAGGAAGTTTTTACACAGTGTAAGAGTCAGTTCACGCCATGAAGACGTCTGAGGAGCTCTCTTCATTGAAGTCCAGGCTATGTGAGAATGAAAATTTCTTCAGTTATGGGCATTCAGATGTAGAAAATGTGACCACATGCGAAAAAGCACAGCAGATAGCTTAGAAGGCATCTCTTCAACATTTTAAACTCCATTTCCTTGGAAATGCACCAAAATAATCACTGCAAAAATATCTTTGTGATTTTTGAGCTGCTTAGGATTACATTTTCCATCAGAAAATCCACATTAAGTTATCATTTCTTTCTTACTTTTACATTAAGCTGGATCTTCTTTGTACTACTAAAACTCCCCGACTCATTTCCAGTCATTTCGATGGTGTGGTATTTTGCTAGCCAGAGTTAAACCACGGCACTCATAATCTCTGATGTTCTCCATAATCCTCAAAAAACATTACATGATTCCTGTCAGAGCCTTTCTCAGTGTTGTGCTGAGATGTAATCTATCCTACAGCAGTAAAATGCATTCATCTTCCTCCACTGGTATTGATTATCGCCTACAGATAACGAGTATCTAAATGCCTGAAACCACCCTTTCTGTTAATGGTTCAAATACCTTTTATTCAGAAATTCCAGCAAGTTTTTCTAATCATAGTGGTTTGGTGGAAAGCCAGTTCCTGCAGAAGGCTCAACGTGATGATCTTAAAGGTCTTTTCCAACCTAAAAGATGCTATGATTCTAGGTGAAAAAGCCTTCTCCTAGATTAAAACCTTCTCCTTTTTGTTTTAGGTTGAAATCAGTCCATTGGAAAATGCAATAGAAACCATGCAGCTAACAAATGATAAGATCAATAATATGGAAAAAGCAGCATTTGAATGATCCAAATCTGCCCATTAACCCTCTCTCCATGCTACTGAATGGCATCGTGGATCCTGCAGTCATGGGAGGATTCACAAACTATGAGAAGGTAACGTCAAAATTGTTTGTCCTGTGGTGCTTCACCTCCTTGAGCCTGGGCTCTCCTGGAATGCCGCAGGACGCTTACGTCCGTGTATTTATATAGAAACCCTATGTGAGTGCCCCTCGGATGTGCTTTGTAGAACTTTGCCTAAAACTCACCATTTTTAATGTCTTTAAAGGGTTCATATAAAGGGAGAGACTTCTGATATACCAGTCATTTGCAAATATGCCTGATAATCTGGGCTGCATGTTACAACACGAGCTCCTAACGTTATATGGGGTGAGATATTAACATTGGGAAACTGTACACACTATCTGTATGTTGGGAATAGTGATCCCGTTAAGCTGGCATACAGAAGCAGCATGTGTTTTGTAACATAAATGGTGCATGAAAACAGACATGTTGCTGTATCCGTCTGTTTCTGTCCTCCTGTAACTCCACCCACTTCATCTGCCAAAATTCCTTGTGTCTTGGGAACTGCTAGAAGGACATTCCAGAGATGTGCCGAAGCCCTTTGCAGGGCTGCCAACAAGCTTTGGCCTTGATCACCAAGTGCGCATCCACCCACTTCACTGCTCATGAAAATTGATGTCTTGATCTTAAAACATTGATAAATTCACTTTCTTTCCTAGATTTCATTTGTGTTTGCAGCTATTTCGCAGAACTTTTGGGGTGATTTGTTTGACTTTGCTATAGGTAATTCTTCCATGGTAGTTGTTGATTCGTTTTCTGCACTTAACTGCTCATTTCTCTCCCTTGACTAGGCTTTTTTTACTGAAAAATATATGCACGAGCATCCAGAAGATCATGACAAGATTGAAAAACTGAAGGATCTGATCGCTTGGCAGGTAAAACATTTTACGCTGGGTTGGTCAGGGACAGCTGTGATGTAAAAGACAGTTTAGTGTCACTTCGGACAAAATTCAGACATTAAATTATTCACCCTGAGTACAGTTATTTGCCATTTAAAACAGTCTTGGAATTTGAGCTAAAGTTCATCTTTTCAAATCTGACATCATTTGTCATTTGATAAATCCACAAGGAACAAACATGGTCAACCTTTTTTTTTTTAACCATAATACAGTGAAAATATACCATCAAATGTGAAAATATTTTGTAATAATACTGGTTAGCCTTATTGGTTTAATTTTCTAAGGCTGATTTCAGAAATTCTCCTTTGTCAGTAAAATGGAATGCCTAAAGCTGAATCCCTCCTCTTGCTTGCGTGCACTGGGACAGTATTTCTTCACGTGTTCACTTCTTTCTTCAAACAACGTCTTTTCCATTTATTAAACTTTCTGCATACACTTACGGTACCTCTTAGCCCAGAATATTCATTATGAGAGTTGCAAGGAGGAACTCGCTCACAAAATATTTAGCAAATTCATCATTGTGAAACCTATGTTTCGTTTGCCATATAACTTAACTTGGTACAAAAACACCAACAGTTCATAAAGTGTGTGAAACTACCTGGTATTTCTATGATGACCTACTAGAGCAGAAGTTATTTAAACGTAAGATCACAAAGGTAGTAGAACTCGGAATGGAATTCTGATTTCCAGCCAAGTCCCCGAGGCAGAGCAGGAGCTCTCTTGCATGAGGAGCTGCATTTACATGTACCAAAGAATATTTTTCAGGACAAACAAGAAACAATTCCAATTTTTGTTCCATAGTCTTACACTGGACATTTTCCATTGGCCTAAAGGTAATGTAGAACTAAAAATATACCATTATGATTGGAATTGTTCTTCCCACAGAAGCAAGTGCATCATTGTCTTTTTATATTCAATTTTGTCTTCATAATAAAGGGAATAATTTACATTTCTATGGATTTCAGTCTTAGAGGTAGTAGAGCCAAAGGTACAGAATTTAACCAAAGGTACAGAATTTAACTCTGAAAACCATAAAACTCTCACTGAATAAAAACTCTTCTGGTCTGAAAAAAATTTGTGCATTTATTTATTTATTTTCTTGTGAGCTTTTACAGAAGATTAGATTTTAGGAGCTTTAAGTTTTACAGAGGAAGCTAATTTGATCCCAGAAGACTAACTTGATGGCAGCTCTCTGCCTCTGATAGCGATACATCAGATGAATTGCAAACACGCTTTTCCTCAGCCAAGATTCACTTTGGTGACATTTGTGTATTAGGACAATATATGTCTTATAATAAAATATAATGTTTGTAAATGTGTATGGCAGCTGATCACGTTATATTTTAATTTTTCAGTGGTTTTAAATACATAAATTCCCATCAGTATTGTGGTTCCAAAACGATAGGAACCAGGAAAATAGAGAAAATGGATGAAAAAATAATTTTCTCTCTGAAAATTCTTTTCCTTAAAAGGTCTAACCAGTTCATGGTGGAAATCAGTGCTTTTAAATTATCTTACATGTTTCATATACGTGTAGTGTATCGTAGGACTTAAACCTCCTCTCAGACTATTCCGGTTTTCCGAACACACGCAGCAGAAGTCAGTGGGAACGGGGCGGGGAGCTGTCTGCCAGATATCGGCTGGTGTCAGGAGAGGGAGTTGTTATGGAAACTTTGCGAAGTGAGGCAGTGGTCTGAATTCATCACTGGCTTGACAGTGATTGAAAGCAGAAATGAGTTTTCATTTTTCAATAATGCGGGGCTTGGAGTTTTGTAATCACACGGAGATTTTCTTTATGCTGTATAAATCAATCTGGGTATATGAAATAGTAGCCTGACAATCATATGATCAGCTGACTAGTTAAATTTAATTTTTTTTCAATCCCCTTACCTTCCATTTTTCTCCGTTGTGCTGTGGAATTCATGCTCTTCAGTATATTATCCTTTTGTACTTCCTGTGAACTTCAAGTATGTGGGTTTTTTCTATTATTTTTTCAGATCAATATCATTAGTAAAAGTGTCCAATTTTGTCCATCCTAGTGCTTTTCCAACTTAGAAAAATGTTTGCATGCAACTGCATCATTTCAGTCTTCTATTTTCACATGAAGATAATGAAATGATTGATTGAAATTATGGTAATGAAATGAGTGATGGATGACGTTAGTCACTCTGCATTTAGCTAATGTATTTACAGCACACCAAAACTAGTTTGTCACATGAAACTCGTGTGCTGCTTCTACATGGCTGAAAGAATTGTAGCCTATCAAACTAGGATTTCGGGATCATATTTTATGATACCGTTATTATGACAGGTTTTCTTTTAAGATCAAGAATTAAGATTAATTTTAATAATTTAAATCTTTGTAGCTTTTTCATTCTTTTCAGCCAAGCAGATCAAGATCTTAAAAAAAAAATAATAAATCAGGGAATAATTTTAAGTTGCAGGGGAACTTTATAAAATTTTAAAATCAACAAAGATGAGAGTTATGAAATAAGTGCTGTCTTGGGCTGGTTTCCTTTCTCATGTAGCTCATGCATTTCTAGCTCAGCTACTTATGTTACCTTTACTTTTGCATTCACGTCTCAAGGTGAGGGTGCCCTGAGGATCTTTCAGAATAGAGCCAAAAGCAAACCCACCCATTGCTCCAAAGCCAACTGAATTGGCAATACCATGAACATGGCAAAATTCTGCTTCTGTCTCCGCATCCGACAGACATTCATATAGGTTTAAAATTCAGTGTCACTTGTCACCAGATTTCCCTGTGTCAATGTCTGGAAAGGAGACATAGGAAGAATTTTGAAATTAGTAGAAGGTGAAGCAGAAATGGTAAAACACTCCGAAGGCGCTTTCTTTCTGTTCTTCATAAATGTTTAAAGGCTTAAGTGGCCTTGGACAGGGAGACCAACTATCCTGACTCAGAAATCAGACAGGTTCTGGGTCAGCGCCACAGGAAGTATATTAAATTCAGGTTTTTCTTCTTCCATGGTTTCTGCTCTTCCGTCATTCCCTCACAGCTGGTGCCTGTTCCTCGATCTCTTGACTCAGCCGTTCCTGTACCAGGAGGCAGCAGCTTTAGGTGCTCACATTCTCCCAACCCACACTCACTCCAGCAGATGTGGCCATCAACCCTCCCATTATTTTGCTTCTCCAGGTGCCAGAAGGTCTCCACGGCTGGTTGTGTACACTTGGTCCTTAGAACCTTCAGTCTGGGGTGCAGAAGGAGATACATACTTTTTTTTTTTTAACCTG